ACTGGTACAATTAGTGGTAATTTTTCTCAGAATATATTGGAATGCAGCAATGGAATTTCTCCAAGACACAGAATAAGAGGTGGGAGTGGGCTAGAATTCTAAGTCACTGTCTATGCAGTACAAACATGGAGAAACCATGTCCCATGGATCGTTTTTTCTCCACCATATAAATCCAAAAATTGAACCCTTGGGTGACTCCATGTTCTGCCCTGCTACTCAATAGTTATAACTGAAATTCCGCACTGTGACATATAGAATAGTACAAGAGCTGACAAAACTGAGCATGGCTGTGGCTGGGAAGAGAATGGTAACAAGGATGAACATTCCCTTCTCAAGAATCGCTCCCTCTCACTTATCCAGTTGCACAACCATTAGTAATAACTCACTATTTACTACAAGATGGAGGTAGGATGGGCTAGAGAAAAGAGCAAAAGTATTGGGCTTAGACAAGCATGGGACACAGACAGGGCCCTGCCATTTACTTAATGACCACAATAAAGTGTTCCCAACTGTCTTAGTTACTTTTTACTCATCCCTGAGACAAAATACCTGAAGCCCAAAGTTGGGAAAGGAAAGGTTTATTTCTTACAGTTTTTGGAGGTTTCAGTCCACACTCAGTTGGCTCTAAGACAGGGGGGCATGGCTGGGCCGCAGGTCATGGCAGCTGCAAACAGCAAACAAGAACCAGCAAAAAGCAAGACACAACTTCTTCCTGCCATTACATCACATCCTGGCTCAACCCCTTTGTGGGTGGAGCACTGACACCATCAATCCAAGCACTAGACAATGAACCATCACAAATGCACAGTGCAAACTCATGAGGCCTGGGGGCCATGAGACACAAACCATGGCATTCCACCCCTGGCCCCCAGGACTCATGTACATCCTTTATACAAAAGACATTTAGTCCACCTCCAAGAGTTGCCAAAGTCCCAACAGTTTTAGCATTGCTGAATAATCCAAATCCCAAGTCTCCTCTAAAATATGGCAAACTCTTAAGTGTAACTCCCTGTACAAATGAAACAAGGTTAAACATTTCTGAAATGCAAAGGCACAAGATAAACATTACCATTCCAAAAGTTACAAACAGGGGAATAGAAAGCATTGGAAACAAAGCAAGTCCAACATCCAGCAGGGCAAACATTAAGTCCTAGAGTTCCATGCTCAGCATCTGAAGCAAACTGGTTGTAAGCTCCAAAAGGCTTGGATGTTCCAATACCCATGGCACTTCCAGGGATTTCAGCTCTCAAAAGCTTTTCTCTTAAATCCTCTCTGCTGGCTTTTTGCAGCTTTCCTTGGATGCGCGTTCCTGGATTTTCCAAACTTCTGGGGTCTCCACTGCACTTTTGGCTTCACCCTTATATCTTCACAAATTGCCCTCTCAGGGGCACACTGCTTGGCCTCCCAGACCCTTTGCAATCTAGGTGGAAGCCATCTTACCCTTGAACTCATGCATTTTCTTTGCACCTAAAATCAGCACCTTGTGGATGCCGCTAAGGTTTGCTGCTAGCTGGAGCAGGAGCCAGGCTTTTCTCTCTCTTGGCTGTAAGGTTCAGTTGTCTGGATCACAGGGCTCTGTTTACCTGATTGTGAGGAAAAGCTTCTCTATGTTGCTGCCATTCTAGAACCTCATGTGGCCTCTGTCACCATTCTGGAACCTGGTGCTCTGCAGCTTTCTCCTCTAGCAAATTTTTTTACCTTTGCAGTGAGGCTGCAAAGGGTAGGAACCCGATTCCTGGGATGCCCCGGGGCCACCTTTCTTATCTCTCTGTTTCCCCTCAACAATCAAAATCTCAACTCTGTCTTCACAATCCACAGCCTTCCTGGAATTTTCCTTCTGGCCAAACTCACAGCATTGTAAATTATCCTGCTGGACTCTTTGCTCTTGATTTACAATGTAAAGCTAGCTAAAAGCCTCCAACAATAGCCATGCCATAGCCTCAAGTTTCAATTGCTTTTTAATTTGTTTTTCAAGATAAATCAGTCCATTGCCCTTTATCTCAGTCTCAGGCAAAGTCTCTGGGGAGGAGCAAAATGCAGACAAACTTTCTGCTAAGCCATAACACACATCATGGGGAGTCCACCAACCAGTGCAGTCCTTCTTCCCAGCAGAAACCTCCCAAGCCTGGTCTTTACCATGAGGCTTTCTGTCAGCCTTCTGGTCTCCTACCTCTGACCAGAATCTCCTCTACAGAACAGCCTAAGCTGCTCCAGCTCGATGCATCCAGACAACATGTCCAAACCTTTCCAATCTCTGCCCACAAGCCATTTCCAAAGCTTCTCGAAAAACATGGTCAGGTATAATCACAGCAAACGACCTCACTCCTCGGTACCAAATTCTGTCTTAGTTACTTTTTACTCGTCACTGAGACAAAATGCCTGAAGCCCAAAGTTGGGAAAGGAAAGGTTTATTTCTTACAGTTTTTGGAGGTTTCAGTCCACACTCAGGTGGCTCCAAGGCAGGCAGGCATGGCTGGGTTGCAGTTCATGGTGGCTGCAAACAGCAAGCAGGAACCAGCAAAAAGCAAGACACACCTTCTTGCTGCCATTACATCACATCCTGACTCCACCCCTATGTGGGTGGAGCACTGACACCATCAATCCAAACACTAGACAATGAGCCATCACAAATGCGCAATGCAAACACATGAGGCCTGGAGGCCATACACATAAACCATGACACCAACCTTCCAGAATCTCTCTTTTCCCATTTACAAAGGAAAGATAAAAGCTAGTTTTAATTTTTTTAAGAAATTAACTGAAAGAACTGTGTAAACTTTAAAAGAACCACTCTAACATAAGATATTTTCATTATGGCCAAGCAACCAGATTTTCCTACCTTAAGTTGCTATACAAATGAATATAATATTTCACGTATTGATTATTGGAACATTTTTCTGTATAACATAAGTTATATTTCCTTGATATTTTTATTGGTAACATTATATCTTTATCTCTATATATCAATACCTAGAGCTATATTTTATCCCCCTAATAAATATTTCTTTATATTTTTATTTCCAAAATATATTTGGATTATTTAAGTTCTTTATGCTATTTATCTCTATTAGACTCAGTATTTTGACCCTAGCATCAGCATTATCTATGATATCTTTTTCTGGAAAATGTGAAAAATGTTGGGATACTAAATAAGATTGAGTGGATTAAGAACTGGTAGTCAGCTTTAACACCAGCTGAATTAAATCACCATGGTGCTGAGTGTAGATATACCCCCTGAAGAAAGTTGCCAGCATAAATAGAGACATGGAGAAGGAGAAGCTATGCGTTGGTGCATTGAGGCTTTAAGGTGTTGAAGCATTATAGGTTCTCCTACAAGTTGCTGTTTGAGCTGTTGGTTCTCCTGGTGAAGCTCTGGTCCTCACATCGAGCATTGCTTCCTGGCTCTAGCGGGGAAGACATGCTGCTTGCTCTCCAGGATGAACTCATCACACTGACTTTCTGGGATGTACTCAACTGCTTGTTGTTGGAGGAGCTCAGGGCCTCCTTGTTGCTGAGGATGGCTGTGGTGCTTTCAAGACAGCCAGCCCTGGTCTTTGTTGCGGGTATGAATTCTTGACTCCAGTGTAGAACCCTCACCCTACCAGCACAACTCCTTCACCCTGCTGGCACAGATTTCTTAGCTTCCAACATATAAGAGACTGGCGTGAGTCCTTGTTGTGGGCTCTGGATCTCCAGTTGGACTCACGGGAGGCACTGTCATTAGCTCTGGTCTTCATCTGGACTTATGTGGGACTTGCTGTGGGATTCAAGCCCTTGGCTAAATATTCTACGTCTTTGGTGCTGTGGATAGATTTCCTGCATTTTCTTGTGTTACTTCTGGGTGACCATTATAAAAATAATATTATAAACTCCATGTCCTGATTCTAATTGCTCTCCTGATAACCCCTGATTACAACAAGAGATTTTGGTGAAAATCCCTCACAAATGGAGCATTTGAATAATTTTTTCCCTAGACATTCATTATTGGGGACTTTGTACAGGTGTGTATGTCCTGGAAAACACAATGACAGCTTTGTGAAAACACAAAGCCTCTCTCCTGACTTTGTAAAATGATAATTACAGAAGCAAATAATAATGAATCAAAGAGTATTTATAAAATATTTTTTCAAGAGTCATTTATTTTTCCAAAAAATAGTTTTCTACAGACTTTACACTATAGACACTGAGTTTATAATTTAGTAACTTTTAGTTTTGTGTAAGGAAAAAAAATCATTATAGAGGTTTGAGAATTCTACTTCTTAAAAGAATAATTTTTAATGTCAATGGCTCAACAGACTGAAAATGATTTATTGTTTTAGAGAAAAATACTTTCCAGGTAAAATTTAAATGCAAGTAATAACCCCAGTGAAAAATTACTACAAGCTGACCTCCTTTTAAGAGCTTTGGGGATGCCAAATATAGGCTCTGACTATAGACTGAGGAGGCCTGGAAAGAAACACAGTGAATCAAGGTAACAGTCATCTTGGGAAGAGGGCAAGAAGATAATAAGCCCAGGGACTGTGACTAAGCTTTATCTGCAATAAAGAGATTCATTATTTTAATGCAGGGACATCTTAAGCATAACGATAAAGTTTTACCTTCATTAATTAGATAACTCATAACTTCAATTTTCCTTCTATATTGCCCTTAGTATTTTTGAAAACCACTCAGCTATAAATTCTATGTAAAAAAAGATAATGTTAGTGCATAACTACATTTTTAATATTAACAACAAAGCAAATATATAATTTTTACTTCCTTTTCATTCAACTGTGAAATACAGGCTTTGCAGTATTTTACATTGTGACCTATTTCTCACGTACTCTCTAAGTGAGGCCCACATGAAAATATTTTCAATATAGCAATACTTCTGGGATATAATATCAGTTTTAAAAAAACATGACACAAATCACTTTTGCATAATTTTTGTGTCTCTTGTTTGAGAGACACTAATTTTTCTTTAAATTTTCAAATAGAACACTTGACATCACAAAACAACATACCACCACATTTTTTATTGCAATAGTACCTCAAAAACCAAGTTTAAAACAGCACTTTTCACTACTGCTGGAGCTGAGAAGAACAACAACAAAAAGCACTTGATCTAAAGCACAATAGTCTCTAGTTTAGCTACCTGAGTACCATGATTGTTCAATAGCAGGAGCTTTCAAGATGATCAAACACTTCCATGACATCCGCGGGTAACTGTCCAAGTCCTGAAGCTTATTAGTGACTACACTGACCCTGTGGCAAAAGTACTATTTGCTATTCCTCTCTTGCTCTGCAGATTTTCTTGAGTGTGAAACTTAGATCAAACACTAATAGCTGGTAAATTTGGAGATCAGACTGTAGGAATACTTTGAAATAATAAAGTCCATGGGCATTTTAAAAAATTCAATTCATAGAAAGTTCCCTGGAATTATTTTTTACATGTTAGAAGCCTATTTTTTGCATGCGGTGTATTTTTAAAATTCCCTAGCTACTGTATTTTATATAGATGTGATTATTTATTAATCAATTTCAAGAAATTTAGTACTACTTCCAAATACCATTAAAAATACACCTGTCATATGTAAGTTAAAATCAATTTCTGGATCTAACAGAAAGTTATGATTAAGTATAGAGGAAAATAATGTCTAAGATACAAGAGTTTGTTTACTAGGAAACCATAGTTCATTTTAACTACCACTTTGGTGACTTTTAAAGGTAGCCCCTAGTGGACAAGATTAAATATCTATGAAGTAATTGCAGGACACTGTAAATGTTACAAATACTAAACAATAACATTGCTTATATCAAATTAATAAGATGCAATTAACACACCAATTTAAAACTTCCTCATGCAGAAATGTTTTTCATACATGTATATAGGTTGCACGTTCCTATGTAGTAATGACATGACTATTGCAAATAACAAAAACTTAGTCCCAAGCAAACCTCACATGTTTACATAAAATTACCATTTACCCTTTAGAGAATCATATCTTATCCTTAGCAAAATAAAAAATCACTTTAAATATCAAGTTCTAAACACTTTGCATAAATATCTTTATTCTCAAGTAACAATTACTTGAGAATCAGATAAAATCCTGGTGACTTTTTTTTAAGGAAATAATTTTTTTAAGGAAATAAAACAGAACAATAAAATGAAACAAAACAAAACAGTGATAAGACTGTGAATGAACAACACTGAGAGATTTCAAGATGATCAAATGTTACCAGGGAAATTCACAATAGTTACTACATTGTATGTTATTGTCCTCTACAGAGTTGCTCAGACTACTGGCTCTGGGCTTGCAAAGTCAACCAAACAGTACAAGTGTAAAGTTGTTTCTTTACTTCAGTTGTCATCATCTCAGCCTGTGTTCCTCTGAATCAGCCAGTTGCTCATGGTGGGGGGAGGTCCTTCTCCCCCAGCCTTCACTCTGCCTGGATGGTCTCCTTCCCGGTTACCCCAACAGGGAGAGCTGGTGGCTTTTAAATACAATTTGTGGCAATCCCAGGGTGTTTGATGGATAAATGTTTGCTTACTCAAACCATCTGTAACATTAAACAAAAAATTATAACAAGTGGAAGTTTTTATTTCAAAACATAGTATCTAAATGGGACAGAGTTTTCTGGAGAACAGTACAGTACAAATAGTTCAGAATTAGGAACTCTCTTTGATGACATATTTTTATACCAAAGTAGAAAAAAAAGGAAAATACAGTAAATAAAATAATAAAAAATTTTAAAAAGCATTAGAACTGAATGGATAGGATTTCAATTGACAATTACAACCAATTTAGCTTTACTTGTCATTTTCTGTATATTAATTTCAAATAATAATTTGCACTGAAATTAAGGATTACTCAACTTTTTAGTACCTATTTTTCTACAAATGTACAACTTATAAGACATTTCTGGGTATTTTTTGACTTCTATAAATTAAGATGAAATTACCTGGAAAGAAAGTCAAATGATAAATGATCAACAGGTGCTCAATAATGCAATAAATCCACCACTTTTTAGCAAGGCAAGAAATCAAGAATGTTTAATAACAGGGATCTTTCCCTATAAGGCCTATGGTTTTTAAGTCCTCAGGAAAGGTATATGTGATTTTATGGAAAGCTTTTCCTCTGTTACTTATTAAAAAGAGCATATTTAGGATATATACATATTTCATATAGCCACTATGCTTTCTGTTCTTCTATCATAGAAAATCACCTTGAAGTTATTTACCTGTAGTTGTGTGGTGTGCTACACAGTGCCCTGAGCCTTGACAGTACATTCAGTTCCTAGCAAAATGCATCTGGACATAGAAAAATAGTCTTCAAACAAAACTCCGACGTGGAAAAATCATGTTATCCAAATTCTTCTTTGCCTTGGACTTCAAAGGACTCCTAGATGGCATAAGCTTTTTGGAACACTAAAGGAAGAAAAGGCTTTGGCCAAGCATACAGGACAGGATCAAAGCACAATGCTACAAGGGGGCAGCAAAACGTGTTGTGCAGTCCAAGCTGGAGGCTTGAGCTCTCAGGGCGAATCACCCCACCCAGGCCTGGGCACCAAGCAAAGACTCAAGCAATGCTAACAGCGGCGGAGTGCAACCAATTCACTTAGTTAAGCATGAAGACAAACGTTTCTGTTCATTCAAAGTCAAGTAAACTGATAGATATTTTTTAATATTGTAGTGTTTTTCACCAGTAATTTTGAATGTTGGACTAATCATTCAGGTATGCCTGAGGCAAAAAAAAATCAACATAAACTTGTTTAGCTTTCAAAAATAAACTGATATTATACATATAAGATATGCCGGTCAAGTATAATTCACTGTGCTTATTTTACTTCAATATGCTATATATTTATTATTTTCATAATGGTACTATTGTTGAAATTAGTTTTGAATTCTCTTAATGAAATTTTAGACCCCTAAAGAAAAGTAGTACCATCTTTTAATACTTTCATCCTTTTAAATGAAAATATTTTTTTCACTATAAGCTAGTATCTTGCTTTTGCAAGATGTTTAAAAGAAAAAAATGTGGAAATAAAATGAAAACATCCATAATTTCTTTACTACATTAAATTTTTAACATATATTATGCCAGAATTTAGCTATAAATTTGTAATGTGAAAATAATATTTTACAAAATTATTTGATTCTATATATCTTTAATTTTACTTAATATATAATGCATGTTATATATTATACATGTACACATGGGTAATGTAGGCATAAGATACTTTTATAGTTACTTTATGATTATGTATATTGCTTTCTGTGATAATGAATATGCTTGTTAATTCTTTGTTAATATAAGTGTTTTGTTGAATGCATCTAACACAAATTACTTAATACTGGTTTTCAAATTATTTTCTGGAAAAGTCTTCTAGCATGTTCTAAATTTTGAGCATGGTAGGACTTTGGTACAGTGAAGTTAAAGCAATTATAAAGCATCTTAATTACAGGGCATTTGAGACTGTTTATATGTAATCCAAAATTGTGAATTTTCAAAAGCATAGCATATTATAACATTTCTGTACAACAAAATAAGCCATGGGAGTTTTTACATGGTAAAATTCTATGAATGTTTTAAATAACTCAAATTCTAGGATGTGTACTTCATCTAGTCACCTTCCTACTAATGGTTTTTTACACTTAATTTTATTGACCAATATTAATAATTATATGATAAACATTTTCAGATAATCATCTTTGGATGTTTATTTGATTATTTCTTGGAAATAAATTTTGAAACTCAGAATTACCTAGCTTATTTATACATTTAAGGATTTGATACATATCATCAAAGTGTCCCTAAATTTTTTATGAATTTACATTCCTCTAGCACTATTGGAAACTTTTCCCATAAGTCAACCAGCATCACTTATTTTAATTCCCTAAATTAACTTTTCTCCACTTCCTAATTAATACCATCCCTTGTGCACATAGTTAGGATACAGATGAGACGCAAGGAAGAAGTGAATCAACAGGCTCCCAAGAACTATCGTTCTCTTCTTCCCTGTTTCATTCCACGTCCCCCACACTGGTGGGCCCCATTTTGTCAATTTAATTTCTATAACACAGCTGCAAAGCCACAAGGAAGTCACACATGTCCAGCTTAAATGGCAAGATGGTCAAGTTGCAAAATAAATTAATAACAATAATTAAAATATATGCATATAATAGCGCAAGATTTTTCACTCTTTCAACCACTAAATTGAAATTGTATCATCTCTACCAATAATGCTGGGAGGAGCCCATATTTTAACAAGGAGTCTAAAGAAAGAGGGTCATGCCTCAACCATGAATTCAGGGAAAACCAGTACTATGAAAAACAGGTAATAAACTGCAGAGTGAAAAATTTTGTCTGATGAAACACAGGTAGTATATTTTAGAATACTTATTAAAGCATAAAAAGAAGAAACACTGAAAATAAACAAAACTAACTATGATATTTCCAACAAACTATAGAATAGGCACATCTGGAAAGATTAACATAGCAAATAAAACATTTAAAGATACAGAAAAAGAGCAAAACTTAAAATGCCATAAGAGGATAATATAAACAAACTCATACCAATAAAATTAAATAAAAGAAGGTTTTAGGAGACTATGAAGTAAAATTAGCTCAAGAGTTAAAAAAGAAAAACTGATAATATAGAGTCACTCTAGAAATTGAATCAGCAGGTTAATAGGTATGCGTTACATATGTACCATTGCAACATAGTTTTATTCTCGTTTCATCAAATTTATAGGAAGCAAGTTAATCCCTGCCTTAACCAATTGATCCAAATTATATCAAACAGAAAAAGATATCCAAACTGTCCTTTTTTAGCCTTTCTTGACACTAAAATCCAAATCAGACATGGACTGAACAAGAAAAGATTATTAGGAACACAGACTCAAAAATCCTGAAAAATATATGAGCAAATTATATATGACTGCATGAAAACAATTTAATATAATATGACTACAGTTTATTCAAAGAACATAAAGGTAGTTTTTGCATAGGAGAACATTACCATAATTCACTGCATTAAAATTTTAAAGGAGAAATTATTTTGATCATCAAAGTTAACACAGAATAAAATATTCAATAAGCTTTAGTATTCATTAATGCAAAACAAAAAAAACTTTTAGCAAGCCAGGGATAATAGGGAGTACATAACAGTGTGTAGCAAAAACAATTTGTGTAACATGAGAATCAAAACAAATTTGTTACTGCTAACAAATTCTTTAAATGCTAAAAATACTCTAGAGTGCGGGGAACCTGTCATTCTCACACACGTTCTTTGTGATAAAGGAACCTGGAAAATCTTCAGTATCTGCTAACCTAAGTGCATCCAATGTATGATTTGGCAATTTTCTATTTACATACAGAATGATACTGGCACACAAGATCAAAGGGGCATATACAGAGGTAGAAACTCCAACATCATTACATAATGGTTAAGAATTAGAAACAACCCAAAAATCTATAAACAGAGCACTTGCTAAATAAACAAGTATATTACTAACATATTCAATATCTCCACACATTTGGGGAGAAAATTAAAAACAAATTCTTGAGAAGTATTTGTACCATGCTATAATTTAAACTTTAAAAAGACAGTATCATGTATTTTATGATATAAATGTGCATGGAAATAGCCTACATGTGATTCTGAAAGAATCCTCACCAAACTGGTACAGCTGTCATTTCTGAAGATGGTTATGGGAGTCATGGTGAGTTTAAGCATCATCTGTAACAATTAGATGAGCCTATGTTTATATATTACATATTATTCATATATAAACACATTTTTAGTTTTTATAAGTTAATTGATGATATTTCCCAAGACTGATAAAATACTATTTGCTACATGAGTTTTTAAGGGAACATTTCCACTATGACAAGTGTTTCCTCATTTCTTAGAGAAATACTAGAGACCAAGTGATGAGACCACGCTAGCCTTATAGTAGAAGGTTAGTTACTAGAGAGATGTGTCAAAATGAGAATTAACCTTAAAATAAAGTAAACTCTGAGGAAATCTGCTGTGCCTCAGGTTTTCCTTAAACAGAGCTTTTTAATTCTAAAGGAGTGAAGATTATAATTTTCAGCTTCTTCTGTGGTTAGCATATGCAGCTACTGTATGTTCCTCAAATCTTCCTGGGGGAAAAACTCAGGATTTTCATTGTTGTAGTCCCCAGAGAGAAGCAGGGCACTCTAAGAAGATACAGGACTGGAGGCCAGCATGAAAAAAGTCCCTGCAGAGGAGAAAACCCAGAATCCTGCCATTCCAGTTCAGTGTTAGGGCTGCAAGGTTTGTCAAACCCTGATTTGCTCTGTAACTTGGTCAGGTCTTGGAGGTTCTTTCTTATTATCTGGAAAATAAGGGAGCTGGATTTATGAGCTCCTTTCCAGTGCCATAGTTTATTGACTTTACTATTAACTTTTAGCATGCATCTAGAAATACCATTATTTCTTCAAGATCTCATGGCAATAGATGCGTTGTCATGTTGGTGCACACACCTTAATCACTAACATAATTGCTAAATGTAAGTGTGTGGTTGAAAAAAACTACTTTTTGCAAAGCCACCTACAATTAGAAAATAATGTGAATGATGTACTTTCTGACAAATTTTCAACCACAAGCAGCAGGAGTATTATGCTTACATGCATTTTGATAGTTCTTCCTTTGTAAAGACTCATTTAAATAAGAGAAAATGTTTTTCAACCACTTTGTTTAAAAGCCTTTAACTGGAAATCTAAGAAAGGATTTTTGAACAAGGGTGTGGGTTACTTCACTCTCAGCATATCTGCCTTTATGTATTGTCAAAGAGAGCAGTGGTTTCATGAAGGGCAGGAACTTACCTGTCCTAAAATATTTCTTCCAAGGGCTTGTCGTGGCACTACCCTCCCCTCTTCCCTGGCTCCAAATCACCTCTGCGAATTCGGTTCATTACCAAGAAAATCAGTGTGAGTAACTGGGAAGCAAGCACAGTGAAATGAGTTGACACACGGAGCAGTGCTGAGGAAATTCTTGGGCTCTCAGAGGACAACGTGAAGTCCTGAACAGGAACACAGGGATCCCCAGGGAGTAGCACGCAGCCAACCTAGGGAACATGGGGCACAACCGAGGAAGGCAGGTGGAGCACAATGGAGAGCTTGTAAACCCTTGGCAAACTGCTTTGAGCTGAAGGAGAGACCAAGCAAGCCTCCTTGGCTCAGGTCTACACTTTGCCAGAGGTTGTAATTAATTTTAATCATTTCAAAAGCCATTTTTCTAATTTTTTTCTGCTTCACTACTTCTCATAAGCATTATTGATTCATCAAGATTAATTCCACCCCTGGTGTTTTCTGAGTTCTTTTTCTTAAATGAACAAGTTAACATCCTACAAAAGGACTTAATATTTGAAATAATCCCCATGTTATAAAGAGTGAACAAGCTTGCCAAAGTCCATACTAACCAACATGATCGCATCCTACCCACTAGGATATTAAGCGTAATCAACAGCCCAACCCCACCCTGCCTCTGTGATTGCCAAGGAAAATAAATTACAGCAAAATTACTCCCAGTAGTTACAATGCATGTAAAAGCAAGATGAAAATCTCATGACTAATCCCTAAAATAAAAGGAATTTGATGACTAGATAGACAGACATATAGAAAGGTGGTAGGGGGGCTCATATTTATTGAATTTTTGGACTGAAACTTTCTGTTGGTTGCCATAGGTAACTGAAAAAATATGCAGCTTAGAATCCAGTGTTACTCAAGTGAAGGCAAAGTTAATCTATGATGGATTGTTGTTGCTGACTTAATATCTTTGTAGTCCCAAGATAGCTGTCCAGAATCCATACAATCACACTTGAATACATAATACTGCATAAATGCTACTGACGGTGAAGATAAAAATTGATGCATTCAAACATAAAATCATTTACATTGAATTGCACCACAAAAAATTATCTCCTGAAGTCATTTTAAATGGTCTGGCCCTCAATTTGTATAGACCACCTTTATCTTATATATGTTAAACTGTATTTAGTATGTTTATTTCAATCATTAATTTTTGCATCATACAAATGTCATCATCCTCTTTCTTTAAAATTTGACAACTAAAGTTTGATCAGTTTTCAGAGTCAACTGTGTTCAAAACTGAAGGAGAAATTAAAGTGCAGTTAATAAATATATATGTCCCTTAAAAATATTTATGCTCTTTTTCTGTGACTACAAAGTTGGACATTTTGCAGTCTCCATATGTAAATGGATTAATTCTTTTTATCTGAACTTAAGAGTTTGAATCATAAATCCAGGGAAGAAAATAAAGGTAAGAAGAACTAACAAAATATATCTTACAAAAGTGGTTAAAATTACACTTATTTTTTGTTTTATTCTTGTGTCATTTCTAGTATTTTATTATTATTATTATCAATCAACTGGAGAAGCTTTCTGAATCTTGAGGTAAAATAAATCTGTTCTAAACACTTCAACAAAGAAGTGACTTTGAAATATGTATCAGAAAAAGGAATAAGATCTGTTTGGCATTACAATGTAATGAATAAATATGTTACAACCTGTTATCCAAATCATTTTTTAAATGAATGAACTTGATACATTAAAGACACATAAAGCCTTCATTTTTTTTCCAGTAGACCTTATCTGACTTCTCCTCTGTCAACACAGTTTTACAGAGAGAATGAAAACCTCAGAAGAAGGCTTTTTCCTTGTTCAGCATTCATTTATACATGTGAAAATTACACAAATACACCTATGCAAGTCAGACCTGGTGGCACATGCCTGCAATCCTAGAACTTGGGAGCCCAAGGGAAGAGGATTGCTGCAAGTTCGAGGTCTGAGTGGTCTCCAAAGTGAGTTCAAAGCCAGCCTGAACTGCATCGTGAGACTCTGCCTCAAAAATAAATAAATAAAATGACAAATATACCTATCCAGAAAGAAACTGGACAGCATCTTTCAGAAAATAACTAACTCAGTGTAGATCACAGACTTAAATGCAAGAACTAAAACTATAAATAAAAAACATATGGCATAAAGAAGTACAAAAATTTTTCATGTTTAAAAAAATTTTAGTGCATAATATATATGTGAAGAAAGAGAAAAACAATACACAGAATAGGAAAAACATTGTAAATCATATATCATACTCAAAAAAATGAAGGAGTCTTACAATTTAGTAATACAAAGACAACATCCAAACTAAAACTCACAAATACTAATTTAGTAGATATTTCTCATTAAAAGTTATAAAAAAAATCTAAGAACATGAAAATGATGTTCAACATTATTAATCATAGAGACCCATCTCACAACCATTAGGATGCTTATAATTTAACAGAAGCAGACAGTAGATTCTCGTGAGGATGTAGAGAAATCAGAACCGCAAACATGGTGAGGTTGTAAAATACTACAGCCACTTTGGAATGTAGCACGCTGATTCCTGAAAACATTAAATGTGGAGATACTACATGACAAAAAAATTGAAGTAACAAAAAGGGATCTGGGGATAGTGGGAGCTGAGGAGAGGAAGGGACGGGGAAGTAAAAAAGGACCAAAAAATACGCATATGGACCACTACCAGGCAATGAATGTGTTCATTGTGTATCACTTATACTACAGTGTAATATATCAAAATGTTGGTATTAATTACCTATGGCTATTAAGATTATGGCTAGCTTTTGCCTACTTTTTTATACAATTGTTACAAAGATCATGGACATTAAGAATGGTTACAATCAGAACAAAGGAAATTAAAATGTGTTTTCACATAGACACACACAAACATCCTCTGTACCTTTATTCACAAAAGTCAAAATTTGAAATAGTCCAACTGTCTAAAAGCTGGTGAGTGAATAAAATGTAGTTTATTCATATCTGTATAAAGAAATATTATTTTACCATAAAAAGGAATGGAATATTGATACATACTCTCATATGAATCAATCCAAAACACATTATGTTAACTGAGAAATCACAAATGACCGTGTATTGGCTGATTTATGAACTGCTCCATCTATGTGAGCAGTCCAGGCTGAGAAGGCCACTGAGACAAGAAGTTCATTAAATTATCTGCTGCTGGGGACAAGGCTGAATGCTAAAGGGCGCTGGGAATTTGGGGAATGATGAAAATGCTCTAAGATTTTAATATGATTGTGGTCATACAGTTCTGAGGCTACATTAGAATCACTAAATTCTATGTTTTGAATCATGAAGTATATGTCTGTAAATTTTCTCAATAAGTTATTTGCTTTTTTAAAAAAGCATACATTTAAAAGTACAGAAAAAATTATCCCATCATATTCTGCCTCTAAACATTACATTCTGACATGGTATTCTCAATTACACAATGTTATAAACATAGGCTCGTATTCTATTATGTGTCTGGTAACCCTAAAACTTTATTACTCCATAATGTATAAATTATTCTGCTATTCACTGTTAAGCAGGGCTAAAGACATTTGCTGTGGTATTGAAAATAAAAGACATATTTATTCCCTAATTATTGCTGGAGAAAATGGTTGAAGGAAATAAAAGAAAATTGATGTTATGGTTTGAGGAGGTATTACATTGGAGCTAGTACAGAGGTCTTTTTTTTAAATCCCCGAGTGGCATCCTACAGAGACTGGCACTAACTATCTTGCTTGCTTGCTTGCTTTTTTGTACCAGGAATCAAACTCAAGACCTCATGCTTACCAGGCAGGCACCTGCAGCCCAGAGCTAAACCCCTGGCCCTGGCACTAACTTAGCGGAGGGCACTTCTGAATGTATGCAGGCAGAAATTCACGAGCAGCTCCTTTAATTATGTTTGTATCTGTCAGCATCTCCACAAGATGCAGATTCATCCTGGCCCTGCTGGCGGGTCACTGCTTTGACCCTACAGGGAAGTGAGTTCATGGAAGAAATCTGAAAGCACAGGCCAGGAACCAAGAGTCAGGGAAGCAAGTGGACCAAAGTGCACCCTGAGTATACCCCCTTGCTTCTTTACCACCTGGTCACAGCTCCCAACGATTTGTGGCTGACATCTTTGACAGAGGAGACTGCAAGAGCTAGAGAAAACAAGCAGATCTGCCCACCAAGTATGGAATAATAAATGCTTTGGTCTTATGTCTTTATTTTACTCATCTGTGTATTTCTACCACCAAAATAAAGTGCAGAACAATGTATGTAGCAGGCCACTACATTTCTAAGAAACAAAATAAATATGTATATGAATTTGCCTAATATGCACAGAATAACTACAATCCATAAGAACTGGCTGTAGGTTGACTTCCATAAGGGGACTTAGATGACTGTGACACAGGTGAGAGGGTTGCTTTGTTTTGTTTTGCACTTTTCAGGTTATGTACTTTTAAGTAGTTGAACTATCTGACTATAATACTTGTTCAAACATAAGTTAAAAAGTTCTAGGGTGTTGCTTAGTGGTAAGAACACTAGTCCAACTTGTGCAAGTCCTTGAGTTCAATCCCCAACATGAAGAAAAACAGTTAAAATTTAAAAGGTTTACATAATACAGATGCACATATTTATACACATGTATACTTGTGTGTATGTGCATGTGTGAACATATCTGTGAAATTATGGTTTTTTTGAGTGAGAGTCATTGAGAGGAGCCAACTGTATACAATTATGACACGAGGACTTTCATGTTATCTTTCTACAGGGCCTCTCAATTGCCAGAGCCACTGTATGATGAAACATATGTGTTTGATAAAAATTTTGCCTTGAAGACAATGCAACAAATATCAAGACAGTGGAAATTAGGATAGTGGAAGTCTTGGTCATGTTGTAGATCACAAGGTGTAGATCACAATCACTTCCCAAAAATTTTCATTATCACATATATCCCTGAAACAACTCTATTTTCTTTCTGAACACAAAGCATCCACCTGAAACATTGTGAGATCCATAAGAGAATTTATGAATGTGGCTACTTATGAACTAACACAGATCAATAGCTTTCCTATATTTTAAAAGTATATAATGTAAAGAATAAACAATATGCTTCACAAAAGCAATATAACCATAAAGTAATACAGTAAATCCCTGATTTATGAACATTTGAGTTTTAAACTTTTGCAGATATGAACAGACATTACATATGGCTTTTTTATGCTTTACACTGCATATTTGTGGACTCACTTTTTCAGACCTTCAAATGAATCTGGATTATGAACTTTCTCCCAGAACGGAACTCATTTGTAAATCAGGGACTTATTCTAGAATAGGAAAGTGAACGAAAGAAAATGTTCTGAA